TCGATATTACGAATAACGATCTCAAATAAATTATTCTTAGTCGAAACATTACCAATACGTATGTACTTTATAGTATACATAAAAACGTAATATATCCTGTATACGTGTCTATACGTATCGCGATGATGCATCAAATTCATAAATGAAAAAGGTAAACGAAAATCTCGTTTGTTAATCGACTATACCGATAACTGCCTACTAACGGTGAGATAAAAATAAGAAGAACGCGAAAGAGAAACCGGGGCTGAGCACACCGGACTTCTCCCGGTTTTACGATCCTCTCGATGGGCCCCAGAGAGTGTGCCCTCTTCGGACGCCATTTTCTTCTTTTTTTTCTCCTCCTCCTCTCCTCCTCCTCCTTCTCTTCCTCTTTTTTTTTCTTTTTGCTTTCTTTCTTTCAAGCACTACCCTACCTTCGTCAAAACACGTAACGACGATCATAAAAAAGATGATTCGAGGAAAGTTCTAATTCCTTATTTCGTAATAATGTTTGTCCAAGAACGAAGAGGAAAAAGGAACGGGAATAAGGGATAAAAAAAAAAAAAAAAAAAAAAAACAGGAGAAAAAAGAAAGCAACGACAACGACACCATTATCAAGATATAAATATTTTTCTACTTGCGCGAGTATTAAAAAATGTCATCTAAATTAACCAATTGTAAATGTTTCTTTTTTTTTTTTTTTCTTTTTTTTCTACCCAATTAATTGATCATATACCGTCTGATTCGTTAGATCACTTGATAATACGAAGATATTATTAATCCTTAACTACTTCCTATTTTAATACGATGATAACGCAATTGTTTTCCTTCTTCTACGTATGAGAATAAATCAATCAGAATCGTGATCATTCGCTGGGTCAATGCACGAGAGATATATACCAACGATCGTTTACGAAAGGATTTATACGAGTATAGGGTGGGAGGGAAGAGGGGAGTAGGAGGGGAAAGAAGGGAAAAAAAAAGAAAAGAAAAACGCAACGGTCATTCGACAAAAATAAGCGCGCGAATTTCAAAAATATTTATCCTTCAATACGACGGTTAAGCTGTTAGGTTACATCGTGATATAACGCAACTTCATCATGGCGCTTTTTTGAAAGTTTGAGGTTAAAACTTTTCTATAACGATTGTTATTGGATATAGTTTTTTGAGAAACTTATTTAAAAAGAAAAAGAAATAAATAAATAAAATAAAATAAAATAAAATAAAATAAAATAAATAAATACAAAATAAACGAACATACGGGAAATCGCAAAATTGTTACGTTGAAGCAAATATACCTGTGTACATATCTATATATATATAAATATATATTTATATATATACACTGTGTGTGTGTGTGTGTGTGTTCATATTAAACTATAAACGATAAAACAATGGAATCGATATAAAGAGAATAAAAAATGTTTCGAAAGATTTGAAAAACTTACTCTCTCACACTGGGTCGTGTCCGTTGCTCGTTGGGATTTGAGATTTGTATTGTGGAAAAAAAAAAAGAACAGAAAAAAAAATTTTCTCTTCGTAGAAAAACAGCGTTGCCAACGAAGGAGCGGTTTTCTTTTTTCTTTTTTTTTTCTTTTCTTCTTCTTCTTCTTCCTCCTTCACCCTGCTCTTCTTTTTTCTTCTTTCCTTTTTTTCCAATCTTCACTGGTAACACCACTGTAGCACACTTGTATGTATTATCGTATATATATATATATATATATATATATATATATATATATATATATATATATATATAATATGCACCTTTAATACGTATCCGTTCTTTTTGTCCCTTCGTATATATACATATATATATATATATGAATGTATATATATATATGTATATATATATATAAGTATATACGATATATCCCCGATGTGACCAAGGTGACCGATGTGAGAGGAGACGTAGATTTTGTACGAGAAAGAGAGAGAGAAAAAGAAAAAAAAATAAAGGAAATAAAAATTACCTCGACGATAGATGGTGTGTGTGTGTGTGTGAGAGAGAGAGAGAATCAAAAAAGAAAAAGAAAAAAAAGGAAGAACAAGAAAACAAAAAAAAAGGAGAAAAAGAAAATCTTAATGTAACGCAAAACGAACTGGACAAGAGCGGCGAAGAGCACGATCTTGATTTCTTGGAAAGAAAAGAAGAGAGAAGGAAAAGGTGGGGGCGAGAAGGGAGTAGGATAAGGAGGAAGAGGAGGAAAAAAGGGAGATAGTAGAAAAAATAAAATGAAACGATAAAAACGAAAAATAATGAAATAACGAAGACGTAGGACGAAAGATAAGGACGAAAACTAAGAGAAATAGTAATAATAATAATAGTAATAGTAATAGTAATAGTAATAATAATAATAATAATAATAATAATAGTAGTAGTAGTAGTAGTAGTAGTAGTAGTAGTAGTAGTAGTAGTAGTAGTAGTAGTAGTAAAAGTGGTAGAAGTAGGAAGGGAAGAAAAATAGCCGCGGCGACGACCGGCCCTGCTCTGACGTTCAGATCACTGACCAATACCACTCGTAGCTGACGCGATACTGAGCGAGCGCGTATCTGGCGAACCCGCGACAACCGGCTCTGCGAGCTTCGGCTATCTCCGGTCGACACTCGGTTAACTCCGGGGTTGCGTGAACCTACACGAAAATGTTCGCTCCCCTCCCTATCGCTCTCTTACTCCGAGAGTCTCTCACCGGTCGTATGCTGTGTATAAGTACGTGTGTTAGTATACATATATATATATATATATATATATGTACGTATGGATGTGTGTACGTACGTGTCTTTACGCGACGGCATAGACATACGTACGCACGAAGGTACGTAGGTACGTAGGTATATATATAATACATACATACGTGTACGCGAAGTGAGACCATATCATGAATACATAAATGCAAATGTGTGTATGTGTGTGTGTATATATATGTGTGAATGTACGTGTCGATATGTGTCGACGAGTCCGAAGGGTATAGGTACGCCCACGCAATTTCGACTTCGCCGAGAGATCTCGAGGGACTGTCCTTATGGCAAATATCGAGAAAAAGATCTGCTTCTCCTCTTGGCTTCGATCGATAAAGATATATATATATATATATTATTATTATTAAACATATTTATATTATGTATTTTATTAAACATTTTTATTAAACATTTAGTATATTTTATTAAACATTGAATATATATATATATATGTATGTATGTATGTATGTATGTATATATTTGCGGATATGACTTTTACTTTTTAGTTCCTTTTTATTTTTATTTTTTTCTTCTTATTTCCTTTATTTCTTTATTTATTATATGTATATATATATATTTGCGTATAAATTTTACTTTTTAGTTCTTTTTATTTTTAATTTATCTTTTTTCTTTTTTTTTTCTTTTCTATTTTTGTTTTTTTTTAACTAGCCTATCCACGTTACTGAAATTCTTTCTCATACCAATATTACGATATTACATGAGCCGGATCTTCGTGAATTAATCCATGCTGATAATTATGACAGTGGACAGTAACAATAAGTCAAAAAAAAAAAAAAAAGAAGAAAAAGAAATAGAGAATAATGAGAGAAAAGAGAGAATTGAAAAGAATTAATTCTATGATTTATTTTATATTACGCAATTATTCATATTTGAATAATCTAGAGAAGGACTTTGAGAGAAAGACATTATTCTCAATTTATTCAATGACCACAAAATTGATCGATAAATATAATTCATTATTTTTCTTTTCTTCTGTTTTTTCGATAGCCAACTGATAACGAGTCATTTTACTTTTCGTTATACTTATTTTCTTTGACAAAAAGAAATGTTGGCTTTATGAAAATATTCAATTCCACTTGCAAAGGAAAAATGTAAAACTGAAATATTTTCTCTTTTTTTGTTTCTTTCTTTCTGTTTCCTATTTTTCTTTTTTTTTTTTTTTCTTTTTAATTACAAGTTACTTTTAAGATAATCAAGTAATTCGTAAAACAGTTTGAATTGTACAAAGTATAAGGAAAAAAAAAAAAAAGAGACGCAAATATTTTTACACACACACACACACACACACACACTCGTAAAAAGATATTTTTTCTGAATTTATAAAAGCATAATTACTCACGTAAAAATATTATTTTCTTACACGATACAAATATATATATATATATATATATATATATATATATTTTATTAAATATCGAAATATATAAGATTATTATTAATACGGTGTCATGATTATCGTTTATGAAGTTATCGCGAGTATGTTTAAAAATAATTATATTAAATAAAGATCCAATGATTATCGATGATATTACACTTGTCGGAAATGACAGGACAAACGGCTTTGCGATAGGAAGATCATTTAGAATTAACTGGTCGTACATTCGTTATCGATGCACATGACCGAAGAGACCCGTGCAATACGAATAAAAAGCGAAATAAATTTTATGGGATTCGATATGCGAAACGAATAAATCGGAATCACACGAATGCAACAACGTTCTAAGCGTACAACAAAATTATACGTCATTACAAGCCATTCCGACATTTGAGTATAATATTCTAGTATATAATAGAATGCGGTAGATCATAGATTCCTAGATCGTGAAGTTTACGGTCGATAAAAGCTAGTAAAATAAGGGCTGAATGGAGGACAAGTAGAGAGAACGGGAGGGCGGGGTGGACGATAGGGGGCGGAGAGGAGGAGGGGGGAGAGAATGGGTTGTACGACGAGAGTGAGATGAGTGGGTTGAAGTGAGATAGAAAAAGGATAAAAAAGAAAAAAAAAAAAAAAGAAAAAAAAAAACGAAAGAAAAGAAGAAAAAGAAAATAAATGTAATTTATCTACCAACGACATTCGAAACGCCTGCAAACGCGTTGATGACCTTGAGAGATTAACCTGAACTAATTTCTCCATGCATTCAACGCGTTGTGTACAACGGAAAATTTTCAACGTTATAATTTTGAATTATTTCGCAAAATTTTATCTATTTTGCACGACGAAACTCAATCAGGAATGAAAATATTTACGGATCCATTAAAAAAAAAATTATTTCGAATTGAATCTTTGAACGTTATCGATGGTTTTTTTTTTTTTCTTTTTTTCCTTTGATCATCGCAGATCATGTTATTTTTTAGTTCTACATGAAACATCAGAGGTTTTTTTTTGTCGCAATTAATTATAATACTTAATTGGAATTTGCTCAGATGACATCGGTATTTGCATCTTAGTAATTAACGAATGAACAAACGAACGAACGAACGCAAAATGATAACAATAATACTATTGGACTTTGAGACAACATTACGTCGCAATACCATTAATACAAATTATATCTCAAAGAAAAAAAAAAAAAAAAAAAAAAGAAAAAAAAAGAAAAGGCAAAAAAACGATTGAATTCATTCGCTTCTGATATACATATATATATATATATATATAATAATTATATAATAATTATGAATAATAACAAGTTACTTAATCGTCGTTAAATGAGTACGCTTACGACACAACCGTTACTTTTTTTTGCTTCTTTAATTAATTAAAAATAAAAAGCTTCGATCTTCTTGATGACAAAAAAAAGAATAGAAACAAAAAAAAATGTTTTTAGCGAATGATCAATTGGCAAAAACAAAAAAATATCTAATTCAATTTGCGATAGATTAAATTTGACGTAGAATACTTTAATAACGTCATATCGAAACCTAACAAAATTTTGATTAAACTCATGTGATACCAAACAACCCTTTGCCGTGCATAAATAAATCTTTTCTTTTTTTTTTAACGTTCACGTGACCAACCAACGTGACGACAACGGACGTAAATGAATAAACAAAATTATTAATAGAATTTAAAAAGGGAGAAAATAATAGGTGTTAGAAGATATATGAAATTAAATAGAAATAGATGTATCAGACAAAAAGACGAGATCATTTATATATAATCTCGTTTTTAGAATTAATCTTCTTTGCTAGCATATATTAAATCATCTGGGGCCGGGGGAAGGGGGATGGGGTAGGGGGGAGGGGGTAGGATGGTATAGAGGGGAGGGGATATATCGAAGCAGAGGAGTATTTTTAGAAGTAACGGTGAACAAGAGAGAACAGGTATCACCGTATATATTTACGCGTAAACGGCGAAGCTTTGCTTTACGATCGAAAAGGGATGAGAAATATGTAAATGCGTTATAAAGTATTTTAATCGTTTGCACGAAAGACGGAAAGTACGTCGTACTTGTAAGGCTAAATATAAATACATATATACATAGATAGATAAGTACACGTATACAGGTTGATTATAAATTAAGGGCCGGCGATTCAAGAAAGGCCTTTGTTAAAGAAGCAATTGAAACAAAAAAAGAAAAAAAAGAAAAAAAAAATAATAATATATATATATATCAAGAAAAATTTTTCAATTTCATACGTGGAATATTTTAAATGATACTAAATGAAAACACCCGACTTTCGTTTATATCGAAGATTTATAATGAATTTTATTTAATTTTGAATTTTTTTTTTTTTTTTATGGAACAATCGGTATGTTTTTAATAATTAAATATTTTAATTTATATATATATATATATATATATATATATAAATATTTGAAACATAAAATCAGGCAACTTTTCTCAACATATTTTTTTTTTCTATCTCTTTTTTTTCTATCTATTACTTTTAATCACAAACGAGATATTTTGAATTGGCCCTTATTACTTTTTAATCAATAATCTCTCTATCCAATAGAATGATTTCTCTTAAATTAAAGAAAGAAGAACGTAAAAAGAAAAAAAGGAAGGGGGAGAGGGGATGAAAGAAAAAGAATAAAACAAAAAAGAAAGAAATAAAATAAAGTAAAGAACAGTAAGGAGAAAAACAAAAAACAAAAAAAAAGAAGAAGAAGAAACTAAAGAATTTTTAAATAGGCGTATGATTAATAATAAATAAAAATCATAATAACTCGTGTTAAAATGTAATAATGAAGACCAAGCGCTATGATCGACGTTAGATCGAGGAATCAACGATGGAACGAAGGAACGAAGGAACGAACGAAAGAACGAAAGAACGAACAAGCCGTGAGTCTGCGTTCGTGAGATAATTATGGAAATGAATTTCGATCGTTATGGGGGCGTGGACTTACGGGCTTCTCCGTGACACGACCTAACCTCAACCGGAGAAGCAGAAGGAGGGTCAGCCGAGCCACACAAGTCCGGCGTAATTTTCTTGAACAATTTTCGTGCCTTCATACAAACGTTCTATGTAGGATAGTACGTATATAAGTACGTATGAACTTACGTACATACATATATATTTACGTATGTAAGTAAGTAAGTAAGTAAGTACGTTCCACACAGATAAGTGCATATATATATATATATATATATATATATATATATATATATATAGAATAGATACATACATATATACATAGATACATATGAAACGAACGGTATGTAAAGATGGTGCTCGCGAGAACGAACCTCCCAATAATCGCATATCCTTGCGATTTATCCTTTACGATATTTTGCGTTAAGCGAGTTCGTTCTTTCT